GTGACGTGGGGTATTCTGTATGTAGAGTAACAACAACCTCCAGTGTGAAGTGGGGTATTCTGTATGTAGAGTAACAACAACCTCCAGTGTGACGTGGGGTATTCTGTATGTAGAGTAACTACAACCTCCAGCGTGACGTGGGGTATTCTGTCTGTAGAGTAACAACAACCTCCAGTGTGACGTGGGGTATTCTGTATGTAGAGTAACAACAACCTCCAGTGTGAAGTGGGGTATTCTGTATGTAGAGTAACAACAACCTCCAGTGTGACGTGGGGTATTATGTGTGTAGAGTAACTACAACCTCCAGTGTAGCAACAACGTCCAGTGTGACGTGGGGTATTCTGTATGTAGAGGTACAACAACCTCCAGTGTGACGTGGGGTATTATGTGTGTAGAGTAACTACAACCTCCAGTGTAGCAACAACGTCCAGTGTGACGTGGGATATTCTGTCTGTAGAGTAACTACAACCTCCAGTGTGACGTGGGGTATTCTGTAAGTAGAGTAGCAACAACCTCCAGTGTGACGTGGGAGTATTATGTTTATAGAGTAACAACAACGTCCAGTGTGACGTGGGATATTATGTTTATAGAGTAACAACAACCTCCAGTGTGACGTGGGGTATTATGTGTGAAGAGTAACAACAACGTCCACTGTGACGTGGGGTATTATGTGTGAAGAGTAACAACAACGTCCACTGTGACGTGGGGTATTCTGTATGTAGAGTAACAACAACGTCCACTGTGACGTGGGGTATTCTGTATGTAGAGTAACAACAACGTCCACTGTGACGTGGGGTATTCTGTATGTAGAGTAACAACAACGTCCACTGTGACGTGGGGTATTCTGTATGTAGAGTAACAACAACGTCCACTGTGACGTGGGGTATTCTGTATGTAGAGTAACTACAACCTCCAGTGTGACGTGGGGTATTCTGTATGTAGAGTAACAACAACGTCCACTGTGACGTGGGGTATTCTGTATGTAGAGTAACAACAACGTCCACTGTGACGTGGGGTATTCTGTATGTAGAGTAACAACAACGTCCACTGTGACGTGGGGTATTCTGTATGTAGAGTAACAACAACGTCCACTGTGACGTGGGGTATTCTGTATGTAGAGTAACTACAACCTCCAGTGTGACGTGGGGTATTCTGTATGTAGAGTAACAACAACGTCCACTGTGACGTGGGGTATTCTGTATGTAGAGTAACTACAACCTCCAGCGTGACGTGGGGTATTATGTGTATAGAGTAACAACAACCTCCAGTGTGACGTGGGGTATTCTGTGTGAAGAGTAGCAACAACCTCCAGTGTGACGTGGGGTATTCTGTATGTAGAGTAGCAACAAACTCCAGTGTGACGTGGGGTATTCTGTATGTAGAGTAGCAACAAACTCCAGTGTGACGTGGGGTATTCTGTATGTAGAGTAGCAACAACCTCCAGTGTGACGTGGGGTATTCTGTGTGAAGAGTAGCAACAACCTCCAGTGTGACGTGGGGTATTCTGTATGTAGAGTAGCAACAAACTCCAGTGTGACGTGGGGTATTCTGTATGTAGAGTAGCAACAAACTCAAGTGTGACGTGGGGTATTCTGTATGTAGAGTAGCAACAACCTCCAGTGTGACGTGGGGTATTCTGTGTGAAGAGTAGCAAAAACCTCCAGTGTGACGTGGGGTATTCTGTATGTAGAGTAGCAACAAACTCCAGTGTGACGTGGGGTATTCTGTGTGAAGAGTAACAACAACGTCCAGTGTGACGTGGGGTATTATGTGTGTAGAGTAGCAACAACCTCCAGTGTGACGTGGGGTATTATGTGTGTAGAGTAACTACAACCTCCAGTGTAGCAACAACCTCCAGTGTGACGTGGGGTATTATGTGTGTAGAGTAGCAACAACCTCCAGTGTGACGTGGGGTATTATGTGTGTAGAGTAACTACAACCTCCAGTGTAGCAACAACCTCCAGTGTGACGTGAGGTATTATGTGTGTAGAGTAACATCAACCTCCAGTGTGACGTGGGGTATTATGTGTGTAGAGTAACTACAACCTCCAGTGTGACGTGGGGTATTATGTGTGTAGAGTAACTACAACCTCCAGTGTGACGTGGGGTATTATGTGTGTAGAGTAACATCAACCTCCAGTGTGACGTGGGGTATTATGTGTGTAGAGTAACTACAACCTCCAGCGTGACGTGGGGTATTATGTGTGTAGAGTAGCAACAACCTCCAGTGTAGCAACAACCTCCAGTGTGACGTGGGGTATTATGTGTGTAGAGTAACAACAACCTCCAGTGTGACGTGGGGTATTATGTGTGTAGAGTAACAACAACCTCCAGTGTGACGTGGGGTATTATGTGTGTAGAGTAACAACAACCTCCAGTGTGACGTGGGGTATTATGTGTGTAGAGTAACAACAACCTCCAGTGTGACGTGGGGTATTCTGTATGTAGAGTAACAACAACGTCCAGTGTGACGTGGGGTATTATGTGTGTAGAGTAACAACAACCTCCAGTGTAGCAACAACCTCCAGTGTGACGTGGGGTATTATGTGTGTAGAGTAACAACAACCTCCAGTGTGACGTGGGGTATTCTGTATGTAGAGTAACAACAACGTCCAGTGTGACGTGGGGTATTATGTGTGTAGAGTAACAACAACCTCCAGTGTGACGTGGGGTATTCTGTCTGTAGAGTAACAACAACGTCCAGTGCGACGTGGGGTATTATGTGTGTAGAGTAACAACAACCTCCAGTGTGACGTGGGGTATTATGTGTGTAGAGTAACAACAACCTCCAGTGTGACGTGGGGTATTATGTGTGTAGAGTAACAACAACCTCCAGTGTGACGTGGGGTATTCTGTGTGTAGAGTAACTACAACCTCCAGTGTAGCAACAACGTCCAGTGTGACGTGGGGTATTATGTGTGTAGAGTAGCAACAACCTCCAGTGTGACGTGGGGTATTATGTGTGTAGAGTAACAACAACCTCCAGTGTGACGTGGGGTATTCTGTGTGTAGAGTAGCAACAACCTCCAGTGTAGCAACAACGTCCAGTGTGACGTGGGGTATTATGTGTGTAGAGTAGCAACAACCTCCAGTGTGACGTGGGGTATTATGTGTGTAGAGTAACTACAACCTCCAGTGTGACGTGGGGTATTATGTGTGTAGAGTAACTACAACCTCCAGTGTAGCAACAACGTCCAGTGTGACGTGGGGTATTATGTGTGTAGAGTAGCAACAACCTCCAGTGTGACGTGGGGTATTATGTGTGTAGAGTAACTACAACCTCCAGTGTGACGTGGGGTATTATGTGTGTAGAGTAACTACAACCTCCAGTGTAGCAACAACGTCCAGTGTGACGTGGGGTATTATGTGTGTAGAGTAGCAACAACCTCCAGTGTGACGTGGGGTATTATGTGTGTAGAGTAACTACAACCTCCAGTGTGACGTGGGGTATTCTGTGTGTAGAGTAGCAACAACCTCCAGTGTAGCAACAACGTCCAGTGTGACGTGGGGTATTCTGTGTGTAGAGTAGCAACAACCTCCAGTGTTGCAACAACGTCCAGTGTGACGTGGGGTATTATGTATGTAGAGTAGCAACAACCTCCAGTGTAGCAACAACGTCCAGTGTGACGTGGGGTATTATGTGTGTAGAGTAGCAACAACCTCCAGTGTGACGTGGGGTATTATGTGTGTAGAGTAACTACAACCTCCAGTGTAGCAACAACGTCCAGTGTGACGTGGGGTATTATGTGTGTAGAGTAGCAACAACGTCCAGTGTGACGTGGGGTATTATGTATGTAGAGTAGCAACAACGTCCAGTGTGACGTGGGGTATTATGTATGTAGAGTAGCAACAACCTCCAGTGTGACGTGGGGTATTATGTGTGTAGAGTAACTACAACCTCCAGTGTGACGTGGGGTATTCTGTGTGTAGAGTAGCAACAACCTCCAGTGTAGCAACAACGTCCAGTGTGACGTGGGGTATTCTGTGTGTAGAGTAGCAACAACCTCCAGTGTTGCAACAACGTCCAGTGTGACGTGGGGTATTATGTATGTAGAGTAGCAACAACCTCCAGTGTAGCAACAACGTCCAGTGTGACGTGGGGTATTATGTGTGTAGAGTAGCAACAACCTCCAGTGTGACGTGGGGTATTATGTGTGTAGAGTAACTACAACCTCCAGTGTAGCAACAACGTCCAGTGTGACGTGGGGTATTATGTGTGTAGAGTAGCAACAACGTCCAGTGTGACGTGGGGTATTATGTATGTAGAGTAGCAACAACGTCCAGTGTGACGTGGGGTATTATGTATGTAGAGTAGCAACAACCTCCAGTGTGACGTGGGGTATTATGTGTGTAGAGTAACTACAACCTCCAGTGTGACGTGGGGTATTATGTGTGTAGAGTAACTACAACCTCCAGTGTAGCAACAACGTCCAGTGTGACGTGGGGTATTATGTGTGTAGAGTAGCAACAACCTCCAGTGTGACGTGGGGTATTATGTGTGTAGAGTAACTACAACCTCCAGTGTAGCAACAACGTCCAGTGTGACGTGGGGTATTATGTGTGTAGAGTAGCAACAACGTCCAGTGTGACGTGGGGTATTATGTGTGTAGAGTAGCAACAACGTCCAGTGTGACGTGGGGTATTATGTGTGTAGAGTAGCAACAACGTCCAGTGTGACGTGGGGTATTATGTGTGTAGAGTAGCAACAACCTCCAGTGTGACGTGGGGTATTATGTGTGAAGAGTAGCAACAACCTCCAGTGTGACGTGGGGTATTATGTGTGAAGAGTAGCAACAACCTCCAGTGTGACGTGGGGTATTCTCTGTGTAGAGTAACATCAACCTCCAGCGTGACGTGGGGTATTATGTGTGTAGAGTAACAACAATATCCAGTAGGAGACTGGAGATATGACCGAGATATTCTGATGATGTTCGTCGGAGCGTCTCTCTGTAGCAGCTGTTCAGACAATTTAGACGATTTGATAAGAAAGTGCTTCAACCTGCTGTTTTTCCTAAGATTTATTTCAGAAACACAAGATCATGTAGACATAATTATGTGAGTATTTGAGTCATAGAGGCAAGAACACCACGGAATGACAGGGTTATAGTAGCTGCATATTGCTTCAGGCACACCTTCAGTAGTTACACAACAAATGACAACAGTAATGTGTGTAGCCGTGTATTTTCAATGTGTGTTCCAAAAGCTGATTTCTTAATCTGAAGTGCGTCGTTTAAAAGGGCCGCGATTTCTCATTCGCAAAACAAACAATATGAACTCTGAACCTTCAGTTGGCATGTGATAAGGTCTTCTAACCAGACTGATTTCGCAATCAATTATTTCGAAGCTATTTTAGTACACACAGAAATGAAATGCTATGGAAATTCTGAAGCACTTTTGTCTTTGTTTGTACGTAACGTTTGTGTTTGGTTGTACGTAACGTTTGTATATGTTTGTATTTAAAGGTTTTTTTTGTCTGTATATAACGTTTGTACTTATCTGTATCGTTTGTACGTAACGTTTTGATGTTTACATAACGTTTGCATTTATTTGTACGTGACGCTTCTATTTGTTTGTACGTACCGTGTGTTTATGTTTGTACGTAAAGTTTGTATTTGTCTGTACATAACGTTTGCACTTATCTGTACATAACGTTTGTATATTTCTGTACCTAACTTTTGTATTTGTCTGTGCATAACAATTGTATTTGTTTGTACGTAACGTTTGTATTTGTTTGTACGTAACGTTTGTATTTGTTTGTACGTAACGTTTGTATATGCTTGTACGTAACGTTTGTATTTGTTTGTACATAACGTTTGTATATGCTTGTACGTAACGTTTGTATTTGTTTGTACGTAACGTTTGTATTTGTTTGTATGTAACGTTTGTATTTGTTTGTACGTAACGTTTGTATTTGTTTGTACGTAACGTTTGTATATGCTTATACGTAACGTTTGTATATGCTTGTTCGTAACGTTTGTATATGCTTGTACGTAACGTTTGTATTTGTTTGTACGTAACGTTTGTATTTGCTTGTACGTAAAGTTTGTATATGCTTATACGTAACGTTTGTATATGCTTGTTCGTAACGTTTGTATATGCTTGTACGTAACGTTTGTATTTGTTTGTACGTAACGTTTGTATTTGCTTGTACGTAAAGTTTGTATATGCTTGTACATAACGTTTGTATATGCTTGTACGTAACGTTTGTATATGCTTGTACGTAACGTTTGTATTTGTTTGTACGTAACGTTTGTATTTCTTTGTACGTAACGTTTGTATTTGTTTGTACTTAACGTTTGTATATGCTTGTACGTAAAGTTTGTATTTGTTTGTATGTAACGTTTGTATTAGTCTTTACATAACGTTTGTATTTGTTTGTACGTAACGTTTGTATTTGTTTGTACGTAACGTTTGTATTTGTTTGTACGTAACGTTTGTATATGCTTGAACGTATCGTTTGTATATGCTTGTACGTAACGTTTGTATTTGTTGGTACGTAACGTTTGTATATGCTTGTACGTAACGTTTGTATTTGTTTGTATGTAACGTTTGTATTTGTCTGTACATAACGTTTGTATTTGTTTGTATGTAACGTTTGTATTTGTTTGTACGTAACGTTTGTATTTGTTTGTACGTAACGTTTGTATATGCTTGTACGTAACGTTGTTATTTGTCTGTACATAACGTTCGTATTTGAACAGGACGTTTATATATTTCTGTACATAACGTTTGTATTTGTCTGTACATAACGTTTGTATTTGTGTGTACGTAACGTTTGCGTGTAGGTAACCAGAGTAGTTTCAAAAAGGTTTTCTAGTATTTGATGCCCAGAAACACTCCCAACATTTCCAGATTTCGCTCATCTTTAAAACACGGGATGTTTGTCGTCATATTACCAACTGGTTTGCTTACCAACATACGCTTCATTGCTCACGATGTATAATTGAGCGTAGATCCGCTCTACCACTACTGTTGACTGAAGCATGCTGCGGTCATTCCACACTGCGAGTGTTGGGTGTAACGCTACCAGTACATCTAAGTTATATCACGGCCCATTGATCGAAAGACCAAACTCACAAAGGTAATCTATTAGCAATTTGCATTGTGTAGTTTGTCAATTTGTGTCAATTTGTTTTAATCTAATCACCGAATTAGTTAGTAGTTAGTCACAGTGCAAACATGTGTGTATGCTCTGTAAAAGAGGCAATGTGCATCCCTCTTCAAGATCTGTGGCAGGTTTCAGAGGGGCTTGCAATATATGTGTACAATACTCAACAACAGGATAAAGTTACTCAACAGATACCACAACAGCTGGTTTACATAACAAGGTTATAGGTTAGGCAGACTACTTGACATGTGTTCACATGTATTATGTATATCAACCTCTACAGGGGCATCTGCTGGCCGCAAGTGCGGTGCACCGTAGTGCACGTTTCCCAGTAAAACAAGGCAGGTGCTGTGCTCCATCAGATGTCAGAAACATGTTGGAAGGGTGAACACTTGGTACTACAATAATGAGCAAGACGGAGAAAGGCCACACACACAGAAGTTGACCAGTGCAGCTGTCACGGTGCAGCCTGTTCGTGGGACGCTGTGTTGTCTCCCCTGGTGCGCCACCTGCAAGCAAAACACCGCATCTAATCTAGACTAAATACATATATCGTCTCAAAAGTTAAGTGTATTTTAATCACATGAAAAGGAGAGAGCACAAGTTATCACAACTTAGATCGTTCTCTTGCACAGATTTACAGATACATGTACAATCAATATATTAAATGGCAGAATGGAACGTAAAGAAGAGAAACAGCAAAACGTATGTATGTACCTTCTTATAGGTGAACGTAGTTTATTTAGACGTAATACAGACCCAAAGGCCCTGGATACACATGGAGAAGTAGAGGCAGAACACATCATCACTTACATAGCCAGATATATATATATATATATACACTCTTCAAAAAATAGAAACGCATAGGTGTTTTGAGAATTCCAACTAGCTTTTTTTTCCCAGCTATCGTCATAAAGACAATTCTTATGTTTGATTACCGTTAATCATGTCATGTTCGTTGTGCATTGCGCGCAAACACATCTCAAAATGCTTTTTTGTAAACGTTTATCAGCAAAAATGCAAAGGATGCACGGAAATTGCTTTCAGAAAAAGTTTTCAGCACAATGCACGTGCAAAATGTTGGAAACAAGAGTAGAGACACTGACTATAAAAGACCGTTTTAATTTCATCAGTTCATTACGAATTTTCTGACGTGAACGGAGATCTAAAAATGCCAAGATTAACTGCAGCTGACCGAAATATCGCCATTGGACGTTTGGAAGCAGGGGAGTCCCAGTCTGCCGTTGCAAGACACTTCATCGTTCACCAAAGCACCATATCTCGACTATGGGATCGATATACCCGCACTTATTCGACTCAAGATCATCCCTGAAGTGGAAGACTAAGAGTGACCCCCCCTGCTCAGGATCGGTACATCCGGTTGCATCACCTTCGGAATCGATTTGCTACAGCTACGGACACTGCAGGACAAGTGCCTTGTATGCGAAAAATGTCCGACCAAACCATCAGAAATCGTCTGAGGGAAGTGGGAATTCGAGCGAGACGACCAAAAGTTGGACCTGTCTTGCGACGTCTACACCGTCAACGACGTGTCCGGTGGTGCAACAGAGTGCAGGCATGGGATCTCAGGAACTGGCGACGCGTTTGGTTCAGCGATGAGTCACGTTTTCTTCTTCAACGACGGGGTGGAAGACAACGTGTATACCGACGTCGACATGAACGTTTTGCGCCGAACTGCGTTCGACAGGTGGACCGATTTGGTGGAGGGAGTGTCATGGTGTGGGGAGCCATATACTACACGGGTAGATCACAGTAAGGGGTTGTCCAGGGCAATCTTACAGCAAACCGATACATAGACCAAAATCTGCGTCCTCACCTCCTCCCAACTTTTGACCGCGGAGTTGTTCCAACATGACAACGCTCGGCCCCTTAATTTCCTTTTTAATGAGAACATCAATGTCCTTCCATGGGCGTCCAAATCGCCTGATCTCGAACCGGTTGAACATTTGTGGGACGAACTTGATCGACGCGTCCGTCAACGTCACCAGCGTCCCCACACACTGGCACAACTCGCCAACGCCTTACAGGAGGAATGGCGAAGAATTCCCCACGAAAAAATCCGATGACTTGTGCAATCTGTGCCAAGGAGGTGTCGAGCAGTGACGGCTGCAAGAGGTGGTGTGACCAGGTACTGACCATGACGCCACCGTGTGGCTACACATGTGCAATGACTGAACTGAATTAATGCTGACAATGACGACAATGCTTTTATCGATCACTGTGTCTAATTTCATTTGATTGTGTTCACGCATATTCTGTGTTGATACTTTTACCTCCGCTTAATAAATAGCCTTATTTTTTAACAATGCGCTGCTTTTTTTTTGAAGAGTGTAAATAGCCTGTTTTTAGACGGTTGCATTGATGATAGAATAAGCATATTAGATTTGTGGCTTGTAGTCGGAATCTCGTAACTTGAAACTATGGTCCTTGTGAGCTTCTAATGAACCAAATATTACTTACCGAATACCTGTCATACCGTGTGGGAGTATATCGACGTTGACGCTGGGGGCGACTCACCTGTAATAAGCTGTTATCCCGGAAGGAGGGCGATGGGTGAACTACACGTTGCTTACCCTTTTTGCGGACACCCTGTGTTATCCCTGTTTTTTAATGATCCATTCATATATTTTTCACCACTATTTTGCATTTTACACCTAATAGAAGTCCGTCGTGTGCGATCGTATCGACGTCAACACAGAGTGCTTCTCACCTGTATTCAGGTCCTATCATGGTATGATGGTGATGAACTTCTCCCCACTGAAGTGCTCTTTCAAGGACAGTGGGGCCTGCAATGTCCCGTTGATATGTAATCGTACTGTCCTGAAAATGTTATTAACAAATGTCATCTCTGTAATATATATATTTCCATGTGACATCAGTCTCAGTTTGAGTACTGCCTAAGATTCCGCCGGTAAATTCTACAACAACATGGCACATTCTTCAGGTGAGTCATATCATATGATGTATAGAAGCAACGGAGCAATTGAACGCTACTAAAAAAATGGCAAAAATAAGAATCGTGTCTTTAGAGAACCGATTTCTGCTTCTGCATTTCAAAATGAGTGTGTTACTCTTGTAAACAAAGACAAATGTGTTTCACAAGAAAATATATACAAGATACAATTTCAGTGGCCATTTAATGTGGAAATATATTAAAGTATGTGAAGTATAGCACAATTTCATTATACTATACTTTCACTGCTACCCATACAAAAACTGAATTTGAATGACTGTTGGAAATTTTAATTTTAATAGAGCCACAAACTCATCTGACTTATGAAGACACTTCAATCATCAACATTATTTTGGTACAAACATCTGTAGCAACATGAAGCAAACATGGTTACAAAAATTCTAGGAAAAAAAAGGATGCGTATTTTTTAACCACTTTTTTGACAATGAGGCTGAGTGCAAATAGTGATGCTGATCAGACCTGGACCTTCTAGAAGTCAGTACGCCCACACACAATGTAAGACCGGTGCCCTTGCAATGACAATAATGTTTAATATTCAAACTGTAAGTGTATCCTGTGTAGGCCTCGGCGGTCAAAGTTATGACTGTTATCACTTTGACCAGCCAAGGGGTAACACTAGTCTAATTGACCAAACGCTAGGCCGACGTCCGTGGACGTGTACAGTTCGGACCTGCTTGAACTTGTTTCGCTATTTCCTCTTACATCACAGGACCATCCCCAGGCGGCCTCATCTAATGCTGCTTGAACGTTTTCTTCATGAGCCCAAGGGATTTCTCTGGCTACCACGGGTAGGCTAGTATACGGTGGACCTACGATATGGTTCACATGACAGCCTTTTCACACCAACTTATGCTATTTCGCTGTAAAGGTGAAAATTCATAATATCGCAAGACAAAATACCAACTACACCCATGTGTAAGCCCCACTACCAAATACACCCACGTGTTAACCCTACTACCAACAACACCCATGTGTTAACCCTACTACCAACTTCATCCATGTGTTATCCCAAATTTCAACAACACCATGTGTTATCCCCACTACCAACAACACCCATGTGTTAACCCTACTACCAACAACACCCATGTGTTATCCCTACTACCAACAACACCCATGTGTTAACCCTACTACGAACTTCATCCATGTGTTATCCCCACTATCAACAACACCATGTTTTGGCCAACTACCAACAACACACATGTGTTATCCCTACTACCAACAACCCCCATGTGTTATCCCCACTACCAACAACACACATGTGTTATCACCACTACCAACTACACCCATGTGTTATCCCCACTACCAACAACACACATGTGTTATCCCCACTACCAACTACACCCATGTGTTATCCCCACTACAAACTACACCCATGTGTTATCCCCACTACCAACTACCAACTGTGTTATCCCCACTACCAATTACATGCATGTGTTATCCCCACTACCAACTACACCCATGTGTTATCCCCACTACCAACAACACACATGTGTTAGCCCAACTACCAACAGCACACATGTGTTATCCCCACTACCAACAACACACATGTGTTTTCCCCACTACCAACTACACCCATGTGTTATCCCCACTACCAACAACCCCCATGTGTTATCCCCACTACCAACAACCCCCATGTGTTATCCCCACTACCAACAACCCCCATGTGTTATCCCCACTACCAAATACACCCATGTGTTATCCCCACTACCAACAACCCCCATGTGTTATCCCCACTACCAACAACACACATGTGTTATCCCTACTACCAACAACACACATGTGTTATCCCCACTACCAACTACACCCATGTCATATCCCCAATACCAACTACCAACTGTGTTATCCCCACTACCAATTACATGCATGTGTTATCCCCACTACCAACAACACCCATGTGTTATCCCCACTACCAAAAACACCCATGTGTTATCCCCACTACCAACTACACCCATGTGTTATCCCCACTACCAATTACATGCATGTTTTTATCCCCACTACCAACAACACACATGTGTTATCCCCACTATCAACAACACCCATTTGTTAGCCCAACTACCAACTACATCCACGTGCTAGCTCCACTACCAACTACACCCTTGCGCTAGCCACACTACCAACTGCACCCATGTGTTAGACACACTACCAACAACACCAATGTGTCAGCCCCACTACCAACTACATCCACGTGCTAGCTCCACTACCAACTACACCCTTGCGCTAGCCTCACTACCAACAACACCCATGTGTCAGCCCCATCACCAACTACACCCATGTGTTAGCCCAACTACCAACTACCCCCATGTGTTAGCCATACTACCAACTACGTCCATGTGCTAGCCACACTACCAACTACACCCATGTGAAAGCCCAACTACCAACTACACCCCTGTGTTAGTCATACTACCAACTACGTCCATGTGTTATCCCCACTACCAATAACATGCATGTGTTATCCCCACTACCAACTACACCCATGTGTTAGCCCCACTACCAACTACACCCATGTGTTAGCCCCACTACCAACTACACCCATGTGCTAGCCATACTACCAACTACACCCATGTGCTAGCCACACTACCAACTACACCCATGTGCTAGCCATACTACCAACTACACCAATGTGTCAGCCACACTACCAACTACATCTACGTGCTAGCCCCACTACCAACTACGTCCATGTGCTAGCCACACTACCAACTACACTCATGTGTTAGCCTCACTACCAACAACACCCATGTGCTAGCCACACTACCAACAACACACTTGTGTTATCCAAACTACCAACTCAACCATGTGTTAGCCATACTACCAACTACACCCATGTGCTAGCCTCACTACCAACTACACCCATGTGCTAGCCACACTACCAACTACACCCATGTGCTAGCCACACTACCAACTACACCCATGTGTCAGCCACACTACCAACTACATCTACGTGCTAGCCCCACTACCAACTACGTCCATGTGTCAGCCACACTACCAACTACATCTACGTGCTAGCCCCACTACCAACTACGTCCATGTGTCAGCCACACTACCAACTACATCTACGTGCTAGCCACACTACCAACTACACCCATGTGTCAGCCACACTACCAACTACATCTACGTGCTAGCCCCACTACCAACTACGTCCATGTGCTAGCCATACTACCAACTACACCCATGTGTCAGCCACACTACCAACTACATCTACGTGCTAGCCCCACTACCAACTACGTCCATGTGCTAGCCACACTACCAACTACACTCATGTGTTAGCCTCACTACCAACAACACCCATGTGCTAGCCACACTACCAACAACACACTTGTGTTATCCAAACTACCAACTCAACCATGTGTTAGCCATACTACCAACTACACCCATGTGCTAGCCTCACTACCAACAACACCCATGTGCTAGCCACACTACCAACTACACCCATGTGTCAGCCACACTACCAACTCCATCTACGTGCTAGCCCCACTACCAACTACGTCCATGTGCTAGTCACACTACCAACTACACTCATGTGTTAGCCTCACTACCAACAACACCCATGTGCTAGCCACACTACCAACAACACACTTGTGTTATCCAAACTACCAACTACACCCATGTGTTAGCCATACTACCAACTACACCCATGTGCTAGCCACACTACCAACTACACCCATGTGTCAGCCACACTACCAACTACATCTACGTGCTAGCCCCACTACCAACTGCTTCCATGTGCTAGCCATACTACCAACTACACCCATGTGAAAGCCCCACTACCAACTACACCCATGTGTTAGCCACACTACCAACCTACGTCCATGTGAAAGCCCCACTACCAACTACACCCATGTGTTAGCCACACTACCAACAACTCCCATGTGTTATCCCCACTACCAACTACACCCATGTGTCAGCCACACTACCAACTACACCCATGTGAAAGCCACACTACCAACTACACCCATGTGTTAGCCACACTACCAACAACTCCCATGTGCTAGCCACACTACCAACTACACCCATGTGAAAGCCCAACTACCAACTACACCCCTGTGTTAGTCATACTACCAACTACGTCCATGTGTTATCCCCACTACCAATAACATGCATGTGTTATCCCCACTACCAACTACACCCATGTGTTAGCCCCACTACCAACTACACCCATGTGTTATCCCCACTACCAACTACACCCATGTGCTAGCCATACTACCAAATACACCCATGTGCTAGCCACACTACCAACAACACCCATGTGCTAGCCATACTACCAACTACACCCATGTGTCAGCCACACTACCAACTACATCTACGTGCTAGCCCCACTACCAACTACGTCCATGTGCTAGCCACACTACCAACTACACCCCTGTGTTAGCCTCACTACCAACAACACCCATGTGCTAGCCACACTACCAACAACACACTTGTGTTATCCAAACTACCAACTCAACCATGTGTTAGCCATACTACCAACTACACCCATGTGCTAGCCCCACTACCAACTACACCCATGTGCTAGCCATACTACCAACTACACCCATGTGCTAGCCACACTACCAACTACACCCATGTGCTAGCCATACTACCAACTACACCCATGTGTCAGCCACACTACCAACTACATCTACGTGCTAGCCCCACTACCAACAACATCCATGTGAAAGCCCCACTACCAACTACACCCATGTGTTATCCCCACTACCAACTACACCCATGTGTCAGCCACACTACCAACAACACACTTGTGTTATCCAAACTACCAACTCAACCATGTGTTAGCCATACTACCAACTACACCCATGTGCTAGCCTCACTACCAACTACGTCCATGTGCTAGTCACACTACCAACTACACTCATGTGTTAGCCTCACTACCAACAACACCCATGTGCTAGCCACACTACCAACAACACACTTGTGTTATCCAAACTACCAACTACACCCATGTGTTAGCCATACTACCAACTACACCCATGTGCTAGCCACACTACCAACTACACCCATGTGTCAGCCACACTACCAACTACATCTACGTGCTAGCCCCACTACCAACTGCGTCCATGTGCTAGCCATACTACCAACTACACCCATGTGAAAGCCCCACTACCAACTACACCCATGTGTTAGCCACACTACCAACCTACGTCCATGTGAAAGCCCCACTACCAACTACACCCATGTGTTAGCCACACTACCAACAACTCCCATGTGCTAGCCACACTACCAACTACACCCATGTGAAAGCCCAACTACCAACTACACCCCTGTGTTAGTCATACTACCAACTACGTCCATGTGTTATCCCCACTACCAATAACATGCATGTGTTATCCCCACTACCAACTACACCCATGTGTTAGCCCCACTACCAACTACACCCATGTGTTATCCCCACTACCAACTACACCCATGTGCTAGCCATACTACCAACTACACCCATGTGCTAGCCACACTACCAACTACACCCATGTGCTAGCCATACTACCAACTACACCAATGTGTCAGCCACACTACCAACTACATCTACGTGCTAGCCCCACTACCAACTACGTCCATGTGCTAGCCACACTACCAACTACACTCATGTGTTAGCCTCACTACCAACAACACCCATGTGCTAGCCACACTACCAACAACACACTTGTGTTATCCAAACTACCAACTCAACCATGTGTTAGCCATACTACCAACTACACCCATGTGCTAGCCCCACTACCAACTACACCCATGTGCTAGCCATACTACCAACTACACCCATGTGCTAGCCACACTACCAACTACACCCATGTGCTAGCCATACTACCAACTACACCCATGTGTCAGCCACACTACCAACTACACCCATGTGAAAGCCCCACTACCAACTACACCCATGTGTTATCCCCACTACCAACTACACCCATGTGTCAGCCACACTACCAACTACACCCATGTGAAAGCCCCACTACCAACTACACCCATGTGTTAGCCACACTACCAACAACTCCCATGTGTTATCCCCACTACCAACTACGTCCATATGCTAGCCCAACTACCAATTACACCCATGTGCTAGCCACACTACCAACAACACCCATGTGTTAGCCCAACTACCAACTACACCCATGTGTCAGCCATACTACCAACTACACCCATGTGAAAGCCCCACTACCAACAACACCCATGTGAAAGCCCCACTACCAACTACACCCATGTGTTAGCCATACTACCAACTACACCCATGTGTCAGCCATACTACCAACAACACCCATGTGAAAGCCCCACTACCAACAACACCCATGTGAAAGCCCCACTACCAACTACATCCATGTGTTAGCCACACTACCAACCTACGTCCATGTGCTAGCCCCACTACCAACTACATGCATGTGTTATCCCCACTACCAACTACACCCATGTGTCAGCCCCATCACCAACTACACCCATGTGTTAACCCAACTACCAACTACACCCATGTGTTAGCCATACTACCAACTACACCAATGTGTCAGCCCCACTACAAACTACATCTACGTGCTAGCCACACTACCAACTACATCTACGTGCTAGCCCCACTACCAACTACACCCATGTGCTAGCCTCACTACCAACAACACCCATGTGTTAGCCCAACTACCAACTACACCCATGTGTTAGCCCAACTACCAACTACACCCATGTGTTAGCCATACTACCAACTACGTCCATGTGCTAGCCACACTACCAACTACACCCATGTGTTCGCTCCACTACCAACTGCACCCATGTGCTAAATATCATCATGTCATTCTGGAAAACACATATTTGCTGCATATCATATTTCATAATGATACATGCAGGCCTCAGGCGTTTACCACTTTTCTGAATCCCACGAGCATAGGCATGGTGCTGACAAACCTAGAAGCATAATTTTGGCGAACCGGGATTTGAACCCATGATCATAGGTTTCTGGCGAACCCATGGAACGCAACTCTGCACGCATCGTTGCAGTTTGGCAAAACTAAATACATCTTTTCCGATTTACTGCCCACACTAGCGGAGTCATGCATATACAATAAATGCATAATCAGTAGTCTCTCTTACAGATCCCAGCGCACAGCAAATAAAGGTTCACGCTACATTCTCATCCCCCTCTCAGTCCTGGCAGCTGATAACTCATCCCCTTTCACCTCCTGAAATTAAGAGTCTTGACGACTTCTTCACAGAATTATCTATATTTAAACTTATACATAACTATAAGTATTCTGGTCTGAGTCAGCTGGTGTCAGTATTCATGCGCAGCCAAGCAGAGAGACATTCTCCGTCTGATGAGCTCTTCTAACTGTAACGGATCTGGCTATTCTACAACAATAGAGGGGGCGGTCACGCCGAAGACCGTGGTTCAATTCTGGACATCGGTACAATGTGTGAGGTACATTTTTGGTGTAAAGCGGGATAAAACCGTACTCACTCACTCACTGCAACAATAGATACATGTGGAGTGGGTGAGTGGCTGGTATAACGCCGCTTTGTATTCCAGTTATATCACGGCGTGTCAGTTTGATGTGGGAGGAAAGCCCAAAGTACATTAGGTCGAAGACTTTTACCACTTTGGTGAAACCCTCGAGTACAGGTATGGTGCTGACAAACCTAGAAACATAGACGGGGCGAATTGGGATTCGAACCTACGATCATAGGTTTAGGCGTGCCCATGGGACGCACAGCGAATACCGGAGCCTTAAACGACTGTATTGTCTCACGTGTCATTGGTGCAGCTAACAAACACCATGTCGCGGAACGTCTTTATGCTGTCACAGATGTTGTCGAACTGGCTGAGGGTGTTGTTGTGGTCGTGGTTGTCGTCACTGTACTTCACCTCGTCGTTCACGCTCCAGTACATCCGCTCTGAAGCCACAACGTGCAGAACACATTCATGTAGCTCCTATATCTGTCTATTTGTGAATGAATATATAACTATAGGTAAAACAAAATACTAAAACCTACCCTGTAAAAAACTGTGTTTAGATCCTTAACACAAACCTTAACACGTTACTTGTCCCATTATTTCAACACGTCTAAAACTGTTCAGTATTGTGTTTAGCGAACGTATTTGAAAAGTGGTTAACACCCCGATCCCCCTTGAAATTCATTGTCGTTCATTCATGGGGGCGCGCTCTTTACGTTTAATGGGCATGTTTGTGTGTTAGGGGAGGGGAGACTTGAGAAAGTTAAGGGTCCATCACAGTAATCAGGTGTATACTTTCGTTGTCAGCATCCTGAGTGAGTTAACTGACTTCAAAAGTCCAGTTTCCACCCTTGCCGAACTAGGCTGGAATTCCTGGGCTCGATCGAAGCGCCACCAGTGGCTATTACGAGTTATGTCCCTTCTATGCCTCTCCTATGGACCAATCAGATTCCAACTCTCGTATCACTTGCATTTGTTTCAAACAAAATGGCGGCGCCAAGTTGATCGATAATCAAGATCTATATTGTGATAAAACGGATCTTACATCGCGATGTGCATCAAATCACGTGAGCACCTTGATTAAAAACATGAAACGATTTTCAAAAGTATCTGTGACTCTGAATTGGTAGTGCACATGCAGTGCAAATCCTGCAATCGACCGAAATCTGCATGACACTTTACGAACCGGATTTCGATTTCATTGCGCGATTTTGATTCGACTATGCATAGACTCGTTAGTCCAGCCGAAATCTAACTACCTCATACTAGCCTTGTTCGGCATGGTAGGAAACTGGACTTTTATAGTCAGTTTACTCACTTGCCAATGGAAGCTGTTGTGGTATGTGTGTCTGTGAATCTTATTTGCGTATGTATTGTCTACATAAATTATACCTCCTAATGCCCAATGATATGCACCTTATTTAACAATGTATAAATTCTAACCATTTTTAGATTATGGGGAAATTGTGTTTTGTCTGTGAGACTATAGCTCATTTCATGTGTAATAGACCCAAAACGTGTTTAGACAGAACACACCAAATGTGTATTCCGTTTAGGATTCCTTCAGAACACACTTTTACATTGTTACTTAGTGAACACGTGTATGATATCAAGAAGCCACATTGTTGCAACAAATGAACGTATTTTTTTATTTTAAAAATAAGTAAGTACTGCTTTCTTATAAATGGGCATTATTGAAACAGACCGTCAGAACAAAGTACATGATTCCCAATTAAATATTTAAGAATTGACTTTCACTTTGTGTGAGTTCATTGGAGTATCAACCTTCAGAGAGTGATGGCCAAACTGTATGAACGTCGGATACAATTTTTATCACAATTTCTTACCTCAAAGGATGTAGGCTAAGATCTAAACACAATTTAATTTAGTACGTGTGACTTCATACACTGACAGCCATACAACAACCAGATATATTGCGGAGTAAAATAGTTCCCCAAAAGAGAGGTGACATGAGCGTATGGATGCACAACTTGTTCTTCAGAAACATCTTACGCAGCACATGTGTTCAAATCATATCCTCATTTGATGAGAAAGTTCTGTGAATAACTACCTCAGTAAGTCAGTCACAATGACAGCGCGTCGTAATACATTTACATCAAGTACAAGACGTCAAAATCGCCGACACGATAAACGTGACGGGAGAGATTTCCGAAGTTGTTAATGAACCTGTGGCGGTTACATGTGTTAGTCATCACTGATCAACTGGCTGATCATTGAAAGGTGAATAAAGATGCGTCAGACAGACACTAAGGTAAATTCATAGATTGCTGGAGCCTAAATAAATGCAATAACACGTGACCAATTCAGCTAATCAAAATACAGGAATTTCAATGAACACAACGAAAATTTAATTATTGTGTGTTGAATGTATCATTGCATTCTTCTGTAAGATTATACTAAGTGCGGACCTTAGCTTCTGAGAGAAGTAATCGGCTTTTGTTGTGCTGCTAGCAGCGAGAGGTCATACTGAAATACGAGGGGTGTTCATGAAAGATTTCCCCTAAACCTCTTAGGGTTATCATGTTTGGTTGAAATTTCACATGTGTAATGATACATGTATCTATGGGTTATGTCTGAATTTGCAGCACCGAACTATTAATCTTACCACTATTACAGGTGTTATGATCGAGTAGGGTGTGACAATGGAGGCAGTAGAATACCGAGCAGTGATTAGATTTTTATATTTGAAAGGTCGCACACAAAAAGAAACTTTCGATGAAATGAAAGCAACTTAGTGGGAAGATGCCCCATCATATGACGTTGTTAAACACTGACATCGCCAGTTCAAGTGTGGTCGGACATCTGTGGAAACAGCTGCCATTCCTGGTCGCCCCCATTGATGAGGTCACTATCCATCAAGTGGAGACCGCCATTTTGGCAGACCGACGTATAACTGTTCGTCCACTAGGTCCATCGGAAGTGGGTCAGGGGAAATCTTTAATGAACACCCCTCGTATGTGGAATTGAGAGAGTAGATACTGTGAGAGGTGATATCGAGAGAGGTGATATTGAGAGAGATGATACTGAAACATGTTGTACTGAGAGAGTAGATACTGAGAGAGGTGATATCGAGAGAGGGATAATATTGAGAGAGGTGATGTTGAGAGAGGTGATATTGAGAGTGGGATAATATTGAGAGAGGTGATGTTGAGAGAGGTGATATTGAGGGATGTGATATTGAGAGACGTGATACTCAGAGGGATAATATTGAGAGAGGTGATGTTGAGAGAGGTGATATTGAGAGAGGTTTTACTGAAACATGTGGTACTGAGAGAGTAGATACTGAGAGAGGTTTTACTGAGGGAGGTGATCTTGAGCTCCTCGAGAGAGGTGATATTGGGATGGGAGATGTGAGGTGAAGTTTGGTTTAACGTCGCGTCCAAGATTATTGTACTTATATAGCGACGTGCATGCGTGCGTGCGTGCGTGTGTGGCTGCTTGTACTAGTCCGGACTGATGCCAATTTATAGTGCTAGCTCACTGAGATGCCATACCGCAGTTTAACATGAATATCCCACTCAGACACAGTATACTCACTCCGAACCGACCAGTCCTTGTATTAGCCCCGAAATGCCGAGCGCCAAACAGGGTAACAACAAGTACCATCCTTTAATGTCTTTTGGTTTGACGCGGCCGGGGATCGAACCCAGGACCTTCCGCTCTCGATATTGGCAGAGGTGATATTGAGAGAAGTGATATTGAGAGAGGTGATATTGAGGAAGATGATATTTAGAGTGGTGATACTTGAAGATGTGGTACTGAGTGAGTAGATACTGAGAGAGGTGATATTGAGAGAAGTGATATTGAGAGTAAGTGAGTGAGTGAGTTGGGTTTAACGCCGCTTTTAAAAGTATTCCAGTTATATCACGGCGTGTCAGCTTAATGTGGGAGGAAAGCCCGAAGTGATGCAGGTCTCAGACGTTTACCACTTCGGTGAAACCCACGAGCACGGGTATGGTGCTGACAAACCTAGAAACATAATCGGGGAGAACCGGGATTCGAACCAACACTCATAAGTTTCTGGCCTGCCCAAGGGAGGTGATATTGAGAGAGGTGATATTGAGAGAGTTGACACTGAAAGTTGTGGTACTGAGAGAATAGACAGGGAGTAAGGTGATATTGAGAGAGGTGATATTGAGAGAAGTGATATTGAGTGAGTAGACAGTGAGGAGGGTTACACTCAGAGAGGTGACATTGAGAGAGTAGACAGTGAGGGAGAATATATTTAGAGAGCAGATAAGGAGGGAGGTGATAATGAGAAAGGTGAAACTGAGAGAGTAGACAGGGAGTGAGGTGATATTAAGAGAAGTGATATTGAGAGAAGTGATATTGAGAGAGGTGATATTTAGAGTGGTGATACTGAAAGATGTGGTACTGAGAGAGTAGATATTGAGAGAGGTGATATTGAGAGAGTAGACAGGGAGGGAGGTGATATTGAGAGAGGTGATACTGAGAAAGTAGACAGTGAGGGAGGTGATATTAAAAGAGGTGATATTGAGAGAGTAGACAGGGAGTGAGGTGATATTGAGAGAGGTGATATTGAGAGAGTAGACAGGGAGTGAGGTGATATTGAGAGAGGTGATACTGAGAGCGTAGACAGTGAGGGAGGTGATATTGAGAGAGTAGACAGTGAGGGAGGTGATATTGAGAGAGTAGACAGGGAGGGAGGTGATATTGAAAAAGTAGACAGTGAGAGAGGTGATATTGAGAGAGTAGACAGTGAGGTAGGTGATATTGAGAGAGGTGATACTAAGAGAGTAGACAGTGAGAGCGGTGATATTGAGACAGAAAACAGTGAGGAGGGTGACACTGAGAGAGTAGACAGTTAGGGAGGTGATATTGAGAGAGTAGACAGTGAGGGAGGTGAGTGTGGTGATATTGAGAGAGTAGACAGTGAGGGAGGTGATACTGAGAGAGTAGACAGGGAGTGAGGTGGTATTGAGAGTATAGACAGTGAGGGAGGTGATATTGATAGAGGTGATACTGAGAGAGTAGACAGTGAGGGAGGTGATATTGAGAGAGGTGATACTGAGAGAGCAGACAGTGAATAAGGTGATATTAAGAGAGGTGATATTGAGAGAGTAGACAGGGAGTGAGGTAATATTAAGAGAGGTTATATTGAGAGAAGTGATATTGAGAGAGGTGATATTTAGAGTGGTGATACAAAGATGAGGTACTGAGAGAGGTGATTTTGAGAGGTGATACTGAGAGAGTAGACAGGGAGTGAGGTGATATTAAGAGAAGTGATATTAAGAGAAGTGATATTGAGAGAAGTGAAATTGAGAGAGGTGATATTTAGAGTGGTGATACTGAAAGATGTGGTACTGAGCGAGTAGATACTGAGAGAGATGATATTGAGAGAGGTTATATTGAGAGAGTAGACAGTAGGAGCGGTGATATTGAGAGTAGACAGTGAGGA